GGTTAAAAAATCTGATTCTGTGACATGAATAACGGACATATGCTTTTACTTCTTCATTTGAAGGAGTATTGGTATGTTTTGAGGTTTAGCCATATTGTTGTTCCTTCCAAAAGACATCTCCCATCCCTGAAGGTGCACCCTATCACCTATCAGGAATAACACAGCGTAGTTTGAGCTACAAAATTAAAGTATAAACAGTGGTAGATTTGGTATGACCTAACTCCTGGGACTTTGTTTAAAAAGTGAAATATTATACATACATATTTTTTTGCTTGTTCGATTTTTCAATGAGCTCTGCCTCTGCAGCTCAAGGGAGATTAAGGGAAAAAAACCTACATAAACACAAAGCAAAAACCTGAGCTTGTGTGTAAAGCTACTGCACTGGAGCGAATGTGGTTTAATTCTTGGCACTGGCAGCTTGTTGGAGAATTACAATATGTTGGCATGAGTCTCCAGGTCTCATTGTTCCAGATGAGGGAGTCAGTCTTAAGAGTGTTTGGCACTGAAGGGAAAAAGGAGTGAGAGTTATAGGGAATGAACAGGCCCTAAAGAGGCAGGATGCTGTTGTGACAATGGCTGGCACAGTTGGGGGGGCCATTCACTGGTGGGGATTGCCACAGGCATTGATGTGAAGAAGCATATGTGAGCAAAAGAGGCAAGGGTGAGAAGGGAAAAGCAAGCAAACACATCAAAAGGCTCCTGATGGTAGAAAGAGACAAAAGTAATCCAGTTAGAGTCATCTTAATATTAATGGGTTGACTGATAAGGATATCTTTCATTTTTAATTTATCTTACGATTTATTTCTTAATATTTGTTTTATTTTCTCTTTTAAAATATGTACATATTTTCCTTTCCTTTAAAGAGATAGATCCTTGAATTAAGAGGACCTGGTTTTGTAGTCCATCTGTTCTACTTTCTGGCTAGATGACTCTGGGCAAACCATCTTTCTGAGCCTTAGTTTTTGTATCTGCAAAATGGATATAATAAAAATATATACCATTGACAAAACTGTTTTCTCTGACAGCATTCTGTAAACTGAAATGCTCTGCAAAGAGTGATAACTACTGTTGTCTCTCACACTTATTTTTGTATAGGGAGCCCTAGCTTTTATTATGATGGTAATCGTGATACTCCAATGCTTGCCAGAAGTAAATCTCAGGAGAATCTTTAAAAGTGTTTAATATAAATCTATGACACATCTTAACATGAAAATAACAGATAATCCAGAATGTTAACATTTGGAAATAACTATGTTCACAAACATACCATACTCACAGTATAAAATATAATTTTACATGTGTTGTTTTTTTTAAATCACATTTTAGAAAATGGAATATTTAATAGATAATTACTATCTCTTTTACTTCATAGGCACTGAAGCAGCACTTACATAGTTGTGTCAAATTTCACTTGAATCATATTCACACATTAATGAACAGGTGTGCTATAAATATTGGGATTTTTCCATTTGGTCTTTTTCAGTTCTAATCATTTATGTTCTATAGGATCTGTGCCATTTTCAGAGAAATTCAATCATTGATCCATGTCCATCCATTGTGCTCATTATCATGAGATCATTTCTTGCCACTTCTTCATGAAGTCAAACAAATTAAAAGAGTGGCACTTGTTAGAATACTGGATGTAGATTTGCTTGAACTCTCTGTTTTACGGTCATTCAGATAGAGAGGTGAAGTGGGTGAAATGATCTGCTTTTGGTCCCAGTGAACTAGCCAGTGTCAAAGTCACGGTAAGAGTCCAGATTGTTTGATTTATGGCCCAATAGTCCTTCCTCTATAGGAATACATTTTCATTTCTTGGTATATATCTGTTATATGGTCATAGATTTTCCTTAAATTGTGCAGCATTCTAAACTGCAAAGTCATATAGTGGGGCTACATCTTGAACATAATGAGAACGTAAGTAAGAAATCTTGGCTTTTAATCCCATCATGCTGCTCATAGGAACGTGTCACCCTGGGAAATGCAATTTATCTTTTCAAGTTTTTACTTCATCCATCCAATGGAATTAATAACAGTAGTTTTTCCTGCTATCCAGGACTGTTTTGTAGATAAAATGAAGTAATCTGTGTGTACTAGAAAGAGCAAAGACTTTAGGATCCAGTGGGTTGAACTTAGCTTCATATTGGGCAAGTCATGATATTTCCCTAAGCTTTGGTTTCTTAAATGGTAAAACAGATGTACCAATATCTAATTCAAAAGATTATTATGTGAAGCTTGAGATAATACATGGAAAGGACCTGGTAAACTGCTTAGCGCTCAGCCCTCAAAATAGTAGCTGTCATTATCATGTCGTTGTCGACAGGAGATAGGAATTTGTAGGAAAAAAATAAACTTAGTTCAAGACTCCCCTCTGCCCAGTATGTTATGTGAGTCCTTTTGTTCTTTTTGCTTTTCTTTTTTTTTAACTTCTAAGATGGATGTAATAACAATTTGAGTCTTCAGGTATTTGCTATGATTAAATGAGAAAATGCAAGTAAAAGCGTCTACTGTAGTTCCTGGCACATAGGCTGCTCAAGACATGTTTACTGAATCTGAATTTAAAGTATATACCTCATCCAAATTGCAAATATAAGTGTCTTTCTTCATTCACGGATGTGACAACCCCAAGTTAGATATGTTTCTGATTTTACATCTTCCAAATTACTTGGTCCTGAACAAGTTATTCATTTTTCTGTGGTATATGTTAAAAGTCAGGTACTTGAAAAAAGTGGCTTTGTATACGAGCCTCATGTCTTTATGCAAGTTAATAAAGAGGCCAGGAATGTTCTGCAGGTTTCAGAAATCTAGCGGCTGTTTCTTTAACTCTGCAACTTAGACAGAAGACTTCTGTTTCTTTATGAGCACACTACAGTGAATATTTTGTCTAGCTGCAGGGGAAAAGCTTTGTCATGGACTTTGCAGACAATAGCCTTAAAAGTAAAATGGTCTGCTTTTGGTGCCGGGAGGTTCAGGGGCCCATTGTTAGCGCACAATGGATTTCTCTTGCTGCATTCCTGCTTTGCAAAGGTTTGTTAGCTTTTACTGACTGACAGTACTCTATTGCAAACACCATATTGGCTGTGCCTGTTTACATGCTACTCAAGAATTTTTGTAGAGTGCTGGAAAAAAGAAACAGTGGTGTTTGTTTGACCTACTCTGATAAGGTTTAAAAAATGATTTCGCTCACGAAGTGTTTACTGGGAGTGTAGAATCGTTGGAAATTCTTGTAGAAGTATTTTAAAGTCACTTTTAAAGCCTCAATGAACAGAAATATTGATTACTTTAAGAAGAAATTTGATCCATTTTATTACTCATAGAATTATGATTGCCATTTTCAAAACAATATTAGATAAGAAATAGGGAGAATAAGAAATTTCACTTTCTTTTACTTTAAGAGAAAGTAAAAGCAAATTCTTTAGGATCTTTTTTCCTTTTTCCTTAAATGTGAAAAATGGAGAGAGATATTTTGTTACAAAGCAAACAAAGTATATCTCACACATTCCATAGTGAATGTGTACACGGTAGTTAAGGTATGTATGTGTATATCTACACACACACGCATACGTTATATATATATACATATATATGTATGCATATACTTTGCACCGTATGTATGGACTATGTATAACAGTAATCATTCACAGCTTTTCACCATTTTATTTTCCACAAGATTTTGACATCTGAGAAAGAAGCGTTTCATGTTGTCACAGTTTTTCCAAAGAAAATTTCACCTCCAGTTAGTTAAAACCTCACACAGGCTTTGTGACTCAGATAGCTGATAGCCGTAATGTGGGGGCCTGAGAGAAGTAGATAGCATTAGCCAAAGATGACGATGAAGACGCCTTAAAATGCATTTTACTGTGGGGAAAATTAACCAGTTTCTAATAATCTTATGGTCTCTAGGCCAGACGGTCCCTTTGATAACTTAACGTGTAGTCCCTTTATGCTCCTAGTAGGGGGTAAACAAATGTCTGAACAAACACAAATACACATAAACACCAGTGTGGAGAATGGCGGTGTGCGTGTCTTCGATCTAGATAATAAGTGTGGGTATTGTTATTTAGATGGAGCATACTGGGACACTTATCTTTTAGTACACTCCATTTTCTAACTGAATGCAGTGCTAATCGTGGGATTGAAAGCCATTGTAATTGTGTACCCATCTAAATGCTGACAAGAATATACAATTACATTGTTTGGAACTGAGTTTAATGTTTGGGAGTTTTATTAGCATTTATATTTACTTATACATTAAAATTCAGCACAAAAGAAGAGGTCAAAAACCATGCGATGTATCGAAACAAATATCAGACTAAAGCATAACCTTGCTCTCTAAAATATGTGCGTCCTGTTCCAGTACAGGGCATTTTAAAAGAGTGTGATACAAATCTGAAATAAACAAATAATAGGTTTCCATTATAGGCATTACTCACTTCTCTAGATTTTGCAATCTTTATAAAGCTTCTTTTATACCAACTTTTCTTTTTTTTAACGTTCGCGGTACTGGCAAATCTTTCCACAGTGTGCTTACCACCACACGATGTTAAACACATATTATAAAGTGGATGTAATTGTAAACACACAGAGGGATATAATTACATGTAGCAGATTTAAGAGCTAATTCTTTGCCTTTTTTTTACTCTACATTTTATCAACATAATTATTTTTTGACTGCAGACTAACACCCTGAAATTGACAAGCATCCATTATAGCAAGAATTTGTTCACCAAATTGAAAAACAATGAACTGCAGGTTTATATGTACCCATTGTCATAAAGAATTAGTACAGCTTTGTTCCGCAAGAGGAAAAACCTAATGATTTTGAAACAGCAGGTGACAAAACACATTCTTTTTTTCCTCCCCTGTTATCAGTTTGTTGATGAAGTCATTATGAACTGGGGCGGGATCGAGATGGCCTTATTTTTAGCAGATAGACTTTTAATGAGCTCCATTGTAAAGATAGTCATGTTGATTTGCTTACATTTTTTTTCTTTACTTAGAAACCCCCAGTATTGAAAAGCTACTCTCAAAGGACTGGAAAGACAAGCTTCTTGCAATGGGATCAGGGAACTTTGGTGAAATAAAAGGTAATACGTTTGCAATTATTTTGATCCAATATATACCAAAATGAAGTTGCTATTTAGGAATATTAACAGTGATAAAATACATCTGCCCTCCCCCCTTCTGCCTCATGCATTCTCTATCTTTGGTGTTTCTTCTTTCTAGCTTGAAAGTGGATGTATCAGGGTTCTTATTTCTCTCTTTGTGCCTTATATGGTAAATGGTATGTTGTTTTAACAGAATAACCCCACTATATCTTTAACAGGCTTTGCTTTTTATCATTTTTTAAAATTGAAATGATTTTCTCTGTAAGTAGGTATTTTATCTACAGCAGGGTTATAAACTGCATATTATGACAGGCACAGCCCTGTGGCCAAGTGGTTAAAGTTCTGCACAATCCACTTTTGTGGCCCAGGTTTGCTGGTTCGGCTCCCAGGCGAGGACCTACACCACTCATCAGCCATGCTGTGGAGGTGTCCCACATAAAAAAAAATAGAGGAGGATTGGTGCACATGTTAGCTCAGGGCTAATCTTCCTCAAGCCAAAAAAAGAGGAGGATTGGCAAGAGAAGTTAGCTCAAGGTAAAGCTTCCTCAGGGGAAAAAAAAACCAAACTTGCATGTTATGAGATGATTTTATGCATTTTGCATATTAGGAATGTGAATGTACATAATCTACATTTAAAACCAGAAATGGTGAATGAGGAAAACTTAGTAAAAGGTTGTTTTGTACTAATGAGGGCAACATTTTTGGTTTGGTTTTATTCGAGTAAGAAATTTCACATAAATAAGAGAAAAATTCTATTATGGACTTCAGATGATACTGAGTATTTATATCTTAATAAACTTTTAGTAATAACAAGAGGAAAAGATTTAATTTATCATATAAAAATAGAATCAAATGATCCTTTCAATTAATTTGAGTGTGTTTTCTCAGAGCATAGTGGGCAATCTGGTTTTCTATTTGTTGCCAATAGGACACTTTTGATTCTGAGTTCCAAAGGATTAATTTTGAGAAAAAATACTTATTCATCCACATTAAAATGTTTAGTTATATATTGCTTTGTATATTTTTGATAGAGGCTGAATATATATTTAAAATATCACCAGATTTATATTAATATACCTGTATTAATATATGTGTAAATAACTTTTTTGCATATGTGTGTATGCACATGTGTTCTCCCAATGAGAGAGGCAATTTCTCTTAAGGCCCTACTACATCAGAGTATCCTGGAGAAAGGCAAAGCATAGATCAGTCTTCTCAAATGTTTGGCCTACATGACACTAACATCTCAGTGTTTGGAAACTTCTAGAAAATGTTTAACTGAATATTTTACTTTCCATCCATGTATTTGGAGTTTACATATATTCAGTCTATGATTAGGTGTGGGTAGGTGGTGAGAGAATGAATGGGATCTAATCAACAAAGTCAGTAACCAAAATCTATAATGGAATCAAATTCAAATAAATAATAATTAATATGCTTTAAAGAGCTTGAAGACAGAGTTTAAAGAGAACAGAGAAGTTTCTTTTTCTGAGGCAGGAGATCCTTTGTATTATTTTGTTGGATTTTAACCCATTTGCACCTGAGGTATGGGATATATTCTCCAAGGTCCTTTATTCTCTTCTGACCTAGGTAATCACTGAGAGAGTAGAGCAGAGCAGACTGCCTGTTCCAAGCCTTGTGATCTCATTCCATTGGAGGACAAACATTTTTCCCTCCCTCATTTTCCTCACAAGTCAGACTTAAAAGCAGCGACAGCAGTGATGATAAGCTCAGAGAAAAGAAGCTCAGCTGTCCTTTCAGGCTTGCCTGTGGGGTTAGTTCAGGAAGCTGCAGTACAGTCACAAAAGAAGTTTCTGTCTTTAATTTTGAGTTTTTTAAGCTTCACATTCAGAGCATAAGTTTGGTTATTGTCCTCTGGTTCTGTTTAAAAGCTGTTTTCTGAAGTATTTTAAAAGCAACTGCAGATCTTTCTTCTGTTGGGGGCATGGTTATTAGGTGCTCGGATCAGGTTTGGCAGAAAACTGGGAAAATAGCGCCGGATTACTTTTTCTGCTGACTGCCCGTGACAGTTACAATTACTAGCCATTGTTCATAGGTGGCCAGAAAGTGGAGAGGAGACAATAGCGTGTTGCCCTCTGGGGGTAAATGAATTTGACTTAATGGTTCTTGGGGGGTCAGACACTATGATTACATAGTGACCAGGAATGTGGTTTGCATGCCACCTCAGGAGTTAGACAAGAACAATGGCTTTGCTGTTTGGCAGCTATTTTTTTATGCGGCAAATAAAGGTGTTAGTCTCATGTATGTATACATTGTTTTTGGTCATAGGGAAGGATAAGTGGGAGTGTTTTTTTTAAATCTGAAAATATGAACTTATTCAATTATTAGATGATTTATTAATGATAATTTAGAATAATCTATTTGAATAGAACCTGTGCATATGTTAGGATGTGTACAGTCTTTACAGTATTTACTGAATCTTGTGGATTAAAACTTTTTGCCTCCATTACGCTGGTCAGTTTCCATTTAACTTTTAATTAGTTCCAGGAAACATGTGAGTGAAGAATGAATGCGTGTGTGTGTGTGTGCGTGCACACACTTATTGAATATCTAAGACAATAGCTAAGTGAGGACAGGGCTCAGTTCCTAATTGCTGGCTTCAAGTTGCTATGAGTGAATTACTTTCAAGGCATTTGGACAAAGATTAAACTTACAGTTTGGCAGAGTTCAAAAAGTGTTTCTTACTATTACTATTTAAAAAGTAAAAATGGTAAACTTTTAAAAATAGGAGAAATAAATAGCATTTGGTCTGGGTAGTTTAGCTATCAATAAATAGTTGTCATACTCACTTAAAGTCAATCTCATTTTTCAAGAAACAATGTGAGTTAGTAAAGGTCACCCACTTCTAGGAGCATAAAATTATTTTCCATGTTAGATTATTTTGCCTGTTAGAATTTATACCATTTTATGGTCTGGTGCTTTGGAAATGTGAGGTAATTAGGTTTTAAAGTTACATTAGGAATAATCCTCTAAAAGAAATGCACAAAAAGGACACTAGATCCTCTTTTGCAGAATGAAACAGTTAGACTAAAAAGCTGTGCCAATAGCAAACAGTCAAGATATGTTATAAACTGATTACCTGCCCGAGAAATTATTTATCTCTTCTTCTCTAATCAGCCATATAGTGTAATTAGCTAGTTTGCAGAGTTTTTTTGTCTTTATCTATAGCAGAAGCACTGAGTAACGGTTGTGTGAAAGGTGAAGAAATACCTTTTATAGCCTCATAGTTATTGAAAAGGGGAAAAATCAGGGCCTGCCCTCCAGTTGGCAGCCAACAGTGTCACACATTGTTTCAGCTAGCGTGAAATTCCATTACACTGAAGGTCATTGCCTTGGCACTTCACCTGAGGACAGTATCTGGGGATCCATGGAGGCTTTGAGTAATCTAAACAAATCATTTGGTTTTCAATAAAGTCATTGCAAAATTTGTATTTTACTGACTTAAATTTATTTGTAGAATTATAACAAAAATATCCTCATGTAGAATTCTCTCAAATATTTCCATCTTGGTGAGGTTCTAAAAGCAGGGCATTGTTTAATAAGAGATTTTTCTGGTTAGGTCACTCAGAACAGCCTAGATCAGTTTCTGCACCTGCCTTGCTTGAAGAATTCTTTGGAGCCTGGTTCCTTTCCTGTTAGTATCCCTGACCCTTCTCACTCTGCTCAGAATGCATTCATTTAGGCCAGCAAAGTATTGTATCTGGTATTAAGAAAAATGCCAGCTGCAGTTGGTATAATAAAAAACTGGCTCTTTTTGAAAGCTGTAATTTTGTTCTTTCTAGAAGATGGGACATAAAGGCAAATACCAAACAGCTCTAGAATGCCAATCATGGATTCAAGGAAATAATCCATTCAGCAATACTATGGCCTTTCAGAACTCGTGAATTAAAGACATGCTACGTAGATTCAACGTGTGGGTGAAAGTAGACCCTCTCCTAGGTGACACGAAATTTTGAGATAAGAGAGACATGTAGATTCAGTATGTGGCCTGAAAGAGAGAATTCTGTTTAAATAACAGACGATTTGAAAACAAGCAGACTTGGAATAAGAGTCAGGTCCCAGGTAATAAATCTAGTAAGGGATCCTCGGAATTTTGTTAAGTTTAAAACATGGAAACTAAAATCTCAGCATTTAGATATGTAAAGATTTGTATCACTTTGAAAGCTGTTTTAAACTCTTTCTTTTAAAATCTAGTAACTGTCTAAGAATCGCGTGGTTTGCTAATAGTAATCTTGTGACTACTTCATTTGTACATTAACCTAAAAAATATACATCTGCACGTTTTTACAAAGGGGTTGGAAATGTTGATTGTTTTCTGAGAGAACTCTTGGATCTGGAATTTGTTCGGTACGAGAGTTAGCCATAAGAAAGGTACATAACATATAATCATTTACTTATAAATAAATATTTAATGTTTTTAATCTACTAAACTTGTTTTATAGTTCCTCGCAGTCACTTATGGGTAATGTTTTCAGTTTTTTGTAAAAGCTACCTTGTAAGAACGATTATTGGTGCACAGAATTTACATTTAAAAAATAAGTTTGGCAATGTCTTTAAAAGTAAAAAGTGGCCTTACCTTTTCTGCAAATCAGTGACTTGCTCTGTCTCAGAATGCCAGTCTTTATGCCAGTGTATAAACACGGCAAGTGATGGGAAGAGAAAATCAAACACTGGATCTCATTAATTTGTATGTTGATCATCCACTTCACCAAGTAAGAAGTTTTACATACCTTTTAAAGCAGGTTCTTGATAATGCAGCTTTTAAACAGATAGTTACATATTTAATCAGGGTTTTTTATTTGAAAACAAAAATATGCGCTCTTCAACATTTTTCTCATTTAAAAATACATTCCTTCACTTAACAAGTATTCATTTGTGCAAGGGATGTGAAGATTCCAGAACTAAAATAATTATAAAAACATTTTTTTTCTTATAGATATGGACTCCAAAGCTTACAC